GCTGGAGATGGGGATGATGACCCTGCTCACGGTGAGGGAGGGTAGAAGGGGTCTTGAGAACACCTTGGTCTCCAGCTTATGGGGCTGGTTCTCCTGCTTAGTTTCGGGGAGCACGGGCTTGTGGGAGCTGGCAGGGATCCGCAGGCCCTTGGGTCTTAATTTGGCTCTGTAGTTGTGAATGCCCTGTCTCTGCAGGAGCTGCAGGGTGGCCAGGTAGTGCATGTTGCTAGGTGGGGGTGGGCAGGGCACACTTCGCTCAGACAGCAGTGACCAGGGCAGGTAGCCAGGCTCGGCTTCGGCCAGCAGCGAGGGCCGGCTGTCCTCCGCAGGGAATGGTGGCATGTCCTTGACCTTGAAGTGCTTGGCCAGCTCCATTGGTCTCCTTTCACCCTTCTCGTCCACTGCTTTCAGTCCCCAGGCACAGGCCACACCCGCATCCTTGTCCACACTCGGCACTTCCTCTTCCTGCAGCAAGAGAGTATTCTGACCCTTCTTACCCAGAGCATCCAAGCTGCTTGCCGGGGGCGAAGCCTTCAGCGGGGGCAGAACCAGGAGGGCCTTGGACGTCAAGGACTCTGAGAGGGAGAAGTTCTTCTCCTGGCTCCCACAGACGCGCTCATGGCCCTTGGGATCCTTGCCCTTCACGGTCTCGGGGACGTGCCAGTCTCGAGCACACCAAATGTACTCCTTTATCTGTAGGCTTTTTTTCTCACTGCCATGACAACAGTGGGAAAAGCACGTTTTGCTGGTCTCCCTCAAGGCTGTGCTGCCCTGATCCTTGCCTGACCCTGTGTCAGCCTGAGCCCGGGCCTCCCACTTCCCCTGTCCAGTCTGTGGCCTGGCCTCGGGGCTCCCCTGGGAGATGTTGACGCAGAATAAGCAGCTGCTGGAACCTTCTCCAGGCCTGGACTTCTTCCCTTTCTTCCTTGGCCAGATGCAGGCCATTGGCGAGGTGCTGCCCCAGCCTTGGACCTGCAAGAAATGCAGCCAGTTACCCAGATGTAGTGCTGTGGTGGTGGGGGGGGGTGTACATTCCAACTCATGGTGACCCAACGCAGGGTCCCGAGACTGTGGCAGCCTTGTCCTTCTCCCTCGAGAGTCTGGTGGGTTTGAATCGCCAACTTTGAAGTCAGCAGCCCCACACCCAAAGTACCAGCAGGGGAAGACTGTAGAGCTGGACAGGTGTTTTTTTTCCTTCAGAATGTATCGAACTTTTGTAAATGGTGATTGTTGGTGAGTGCTGCCAAGTCGATTCCAACTCATAGCAACCCTAACAGAACCCAGGAGAACTGCCCTACCCATTCACCCACACACACCTACACACACAGGGTTTCCTATGCTGTAATCTCCATGGGAACAGATTACCGGAGCTTTCTCCATGTTAAGAAGTCTTACATTTCCATTTTGGCTAGTCTCCTTTCTTGTTTTAAATGCAGTCTTTCTCTTCCTCCTTTGGTTGTGTGTGTGTGTGTGTGTGTGTGTGTGTGTGTTTAATTTTTTACTTTACAAATCTTGCTTTAAAAAACACATGCATGCACAGCCAAATCCATTGCTGTCAAGCTGATTCTGACACTCAGCAGCCCAAGAGGACAGAGTAGAACTGCCCCTGCAGGGTTTCTAAGGCTGTCCAGCTTTTCAGAAGCAGACTGCCCCAGCATCGTCCAGCGTCCAGCTGGTGAGTTTGAGCTGCCAATCTTTTGGTTAGCAGCTGAGCACTTTAACCACTGTGACACCAAAATAGGCAAAAACAAATCGGGTACACGGTGACCCTATAGGACAAGGAAGAACTGCCCTGTGGGTTTCTGAGACTCTCTTTATGGGAGTAGAAAGCCTCGTCTTATTTAGACAGACCTGTGGACATAATAACATGCACAAAAAACAAAACAAAGCAAAACCAAGCAACGAAAGAAAACAAAACAACAACAAAACGCCAATGACAAAAAACCCCACAACACAACAACAAAAAAGAAAAGCTTGAAGTTAGTTCAAGGACTGTTTGTTGGCCTTTAGGAGTGTTTTCCGGTTGAGTCCCATGGGGTGTCAAGCTCTGGCCCCAAAGTCTATTTTTGGTATTCCCTGGGGACTTTGTTGCTCTGTTCCCCTTGCTGTTCTGTTCCACGGCCTTAGTGTTTTGCCTCGGTATGGTGGGATCAGATCAGGTGCAATTGCCACACTGTGTCTCCAGTGTTGTCTCCTGTAGGGTTATGGGTCAGTGGGTTAAGTTTCTAGTAAGATATAGGGTTGTAATTTTTCCTGGTCCAGTTACCAATCTCCCTGCATTTGATAAATTCTGACCTGTTCCAGTTTAGCCTTGTCAGAAGTCACTAAACAGGTTCCAAGCCTTGCTCTTGTTGTCAATTTAGGTGTTCTGGTATCAAATTTACTGGTGAGGTAACTGAGGCTCAGAAAGTTGGGGAACAGGTGACAGACATATTTAGGGCAGTGAGACTCTTCATCATGACCCTGTAACTGTGGACACATGACACGAACTAACAGTCCCATGCAACACCAAGAGTAAAGCTATGTAAAGTATGTAGGCTTCCATCAATACTGTGTCTGATACTGGTTTAGTAACCGTCCTAAGTACAGGACAGGCCTGGGCTGTGCATTCGGAAACAGGGCTTGAGGGCAGAAGGGGGCTATCTCCCAACCTGAGGATAGCCAGCCTTCCAAGTAGGGTGAACTGTACAATATCTTTTCACCATCATTCCTGCCCCCTCATTGCACATGGTCAGCTCTCCAAATTCTTCCAGTTCAAAATTCTCCAGTGTTAGGAAGAAACACTTTAATCAGGGCTTGGCAGGGGTGAGACATTCCCGTCCTCCTCACTACACCCCCTGGGGGAGGCACTCAAACCAGACTCAACTGTCATGGAGTCAATGGTGACTCGTAGTGACCTCCTGCGGGTTCCCAGACCGTCACTGTTGACAGGAGTAGAAAACCTAGCCGGCATTAGTACATCTCAAATGTACAGATGGAGAAAGGAAGTAAGGGGATGAGCTCTCCTCCAGGTTAGCTATGGCAAGTGGCAGATTTGAATCTGAGTCCAGCTTTTTATTCCAAGGTGTTTGCTCTTCCCCTAAAGCCTCACTGACGCCTTGGATATTTTGCAAAACACACACACACACACACACATTTTCTTTCACTAGTTGCAAAGAGCAACCTTTCACAGTTGTGATGACCAAATATGGCTTTCAGACATTCCCAAAGGTCACCTGAGAACTGTGGGAGTAGACCAAGATTCTAGAATGGGGTTCTGTGATTGATTCTAAGAACACTTTGAGGGTTCTGAATAGAACCAGTGGTATAGGTGCCTCAGCCCTTTCTCAGCACTGAGGTAAGGAGGCTGGCTTCTGGAGTCCAGGAGACCTGGTGTGGAGCCCTGCTTCAACCACTCACTGGCTATGGTATCTGGCCCATTCTCTCACCTTCTGGGTGCCTCAACTTCTTCCTGAGAACGATGAGGCTACTGATAAAACCTGCCTCACAGGGCTGGTGAGAGGCTGACTGCATCCAGGTATGTGGCACCCTGCCTGCTAACTGCAAAGTGTTCCTTCCACAGGATGTCAGCTATCAGCAGCAGCAGCATCACCTCCATCAATATCGTACCTGTGTTGAGAGTCTCTAGATCGGGCTGGTTCCGTGTTTTTGGACAGTGACTACTTTTGAAAAGAGATTGGCCTCAGAACACAGACGTCGAGCGACTGAACACAAGAGGATAGATACTCACTGCTTCTTCCCACCCAGTTCCGATGACAAACTCCTTGGCCTTTGCATCTTTCTCATGTGTAATGTCACTGATGTTCAGCAGAGAGCAAACATGATTCCTTTCGCTGCTTTTGTCGGGACAGGGAGAGGTCAGCTCTGCTAGCTCTGTGTTTTGCTGCCCATTATTTATTAGATTGGTCTCACTTAGCTGACCGAGATCCATCGCTGTGATTGCTTCTTAACGTTTTTAACATCTTCTGCCTGCAGTGTGAAATGTAGACTGATCTTAGTTTTTGTTTTGTTTTGTTTATCTTAGTTTTTAATAGTGTCTTAAAAAGCTAGGTCCTAACTCAAGTGACATTATCAAGACACAGTCAGGAACACACTGAGAACGAATGTGTAATTTGCCATCCACACCAACTACTGACATGATAAAAAGCCAGGCTATTCCCATGAACAACTGATGGATTTAATTACAGATCCAAGTGGAGAGTGAAGAAGAGGACAGGATGGCTTCAGCACAGATGTGATCCCCAGTGAAGGGATACACAGTGGGGCAGCAGTGTAGGCTGGATGAACCCCACCCTCCCACTCCAAAAATGTCCCCTTGAGTCTGTGGTCACACCTTCCTTGTCCTCCTCCTCTTCTCTCCAACAACCCTTGGTTTCTGTTTTGGAAATCCTTGAACTGATGGAGCATGTGGCCTAGGCCAAGTCATTAAGTGCACTCACCATCCTATACCCACATCTAGCCCATGTGCCTACTCCAGAAAACTCAAATTCACCCATCAAATCGATTCCCACTCAGAGGAACCTATAAGGCAGGACAGAAATGCCCCTGTGGGTTTTTGAGATTGTAACTCTTTATGGGAGTAGGATGCCTGGTCTTTCTGCCAGTGCCCACTCTCCCTCCCTGCCCCCCAAATAAGTACCGGTTCACCAAATAGGAAAATAACGAGTATTGGTGGGGACATGAAGAAGTTGGAGTCCTTTTACCCAGCCACTTTGGAAAATAGCTTGGCAGTTCTTCAAAATGTCAAACATTAAATGAACAGACCACCCTGCAGTTCCATTTGTCGCTACCTTCCCCTGAAGGGCTGAAAATCTAAGTGTGCACCACAGTTTATGGCAAAGGTTCACAAGCCACGTTAGTCACAAGAGCCAAAATATGAGGGGGGTCAGATGATGGGCCCTGATGAATGCATGAACAAAGTGTGGGCGCTGTATGCAGTGGAATCATATTCAGCCATAAAAAGGAATGGAGTGCTGATACATACGACAGTATGGATGGATGGATCTTAAAAACTATAAGAAGAAGCCAGTGACAAGAGGCCATATACTGATAGGAAATGTTTTGAGACAGAGCTGCTTTAAGTCATGTCTGGGCTGCCAAGGGCCATCTGTGGGAAGTGGCCTGTGATTGAGGCTGAACATGCAAAAGGTCAAACCACTCTTCCATTAAAAGGATGGAATTATACTACCTGCACACAGACAGGGGCTCTTCCTGGGGATCCCTCAGTTGGGGAGGTTAAGTCTCATGCCCAAGCAGTGATGCCAAGGGTCCAGCTTTAGTGCTGACAGGCAACCAGTGCCTTCTGGGGAAATCCTTTGCTTGTGCGGAGCCCAAGACCACTAGCTACTGGGGACACAGGCCTTGCTTTCTCCCACTCGAGCACGAAGCCCTGCCCGGAACCCAGTTTTCACTTTGGGCTGGGGTACAGATCGGCACACTTCTTATAACCACCCGGTTTCACGACCACCCCAGCTGAACCCAGCACTGTGTTGGTAATAAAGGAAGTCCCATTTACCTACGGAAGGCTCAAATAGCTTCAGACACCAAAGAAAATGAATAAAATCTGCAAGGAAGAAAATGACATTACAAATGACTAAAAGCGACTGTGGTTCAGTGGGACCATTCTTGACTTCAGTGCAGGCGCTCCCAGTTCCAGTCCCAGCCAATGCACAGGCGCTACCCACCTGTCACGGGGGCGTGCTGGTTGCTGTGATGCCGGACAGATTTCAGCAGAGCTCCTAGATGAAAGCAGACTTGGAAGAAGTCCACTTCCCAGAGTCAACCGATGAAAACCCTATGGTTCCCAAGAGCCCCATCCACGTATAATTAGGAGGCGGCGTGGGGTTGCCATCAACTGGGGCCACCCCCAAGAGGACTCACAACAATAGAACTTCATGTTTTGCCCAGGCCAAGGAAGCCCATGCAGATATTGTGGTCTTGTGAATTATGAATGTCTGTGTCCCACAGAGCCTAACGGGCTTACACCACACACACAGCTCAGAAGCAAAGCCACTGATGAGGATAAACGTCAACCTGAAGTTTTTGTAGCAAAGAAACAGGTACTGTTTTAGGAGGGATTCAGTATCATCATGATGTTCAGATCAATAAGTCGTTCTGAGTCAGCGTCGACTCCATGACAGTGGGGTTTTACTCACTTAATGTGGGACCACGGGAAGCAATATTACCTTCCTATGAATAAAAATGACAAGCCAGCTCGGAGTCAGTAACAGCAGTCTTACTCAGCAAGTGGTCGGAATCCGCACTCCAGCTCTCTAGGTGCTCTTGGGCCACTGGTGTTCTTCAAGCTGGATGACTAGAATAGAACGCTGGTGTTCTTTCCTAATGAGACAAAACGTTCTGTTAAAAATTAACAGGATAGGCTATCGTTTGTCTTCCTAGAGCCACGCCTTGAACTGTTACCCCACTGCTCATCTGTCGGTTTGGCATCACGTGGTGGATTGCCTGCTGCGGTGACACTGGAAGTTGTGCCACCAGCGTTTCAAAAACTAGTATGGCCCGGAGGGCAGTTTTCATCGGAGCTTTCAGACTAAGACTACGAAGAAGAAATAGGCTGAGCACTGCTGAAAAATGTTGCCACTGGACTCCTTCTGACTAGCAGGGGAACACTGTCAGGTATCATGCTGGAGATCAGCCCCTTAGGTTAGAAGGCACCTTAAATACAACTCAGGAAGAGCTGCCTCTCCAAAGCAGAGTCTACCTTAACGGTGGGAATAAAGCAAAGCTTTCAGGACCTTCGTTGACTGATGGGGCATGACTCAAAATGAGAAGGAACCTCTGCAAGCATCCATTAAGAACCTAAATGTAAAAAAATAAGAAGAATCTAAATGTACAAAGTCTAAATCTAGAAAAATGGGCTATCATCCAAAGTTAAATGGGACCCATCAAGATGGGTATCATAGGCAGAGTGAAGGGAAATGGCCTGGTGGTGACCAATCACATGATTTCCTATGCTGGGCTGACAAATTCAAGAGGAATGGTCTCACAATTGCCATCAAAAAGAACATCTCAAGATGTCTTGACGTATAATGCTATCTGTGATAGGGTAATATCTATATAACTACAAGGAATCCTAGTTAATAAACTTATTCAACCACTAAAGCTGTAATCAATATCCTAGGCATTAGTGAGCTGAAATGGATGGGTATTAGCCATTTTGAATTTTAAAAATCATATGATGTATTATGCGGGGTATAACACAAATTTTAAAAATCATATGATGTATTATGTGGAATCACAATCAAGAGGAATGGTGTTGCATTCTTTGTCAAAAAGGACCCTGCAAAATCAAGCACTGATGTACCATGCTGTCTGTGATAAGATTATAACTATCTGACTTCAAGGAGATCCAGTCACCACATTTATTATTCAAATTTGTACACCAACCACACAAGCTACTGAAGAAGAACTTGAAGAATTCTTCCAACAACTTCAGTAAGAAATTGATCAAGCATGCATTCCAAATGCATTGATAATTACTGGTAATTGGAATGCAAAAGTTGGAAATAACAAGGAAGGAACAATAGTTGGGAAATATGAACTTGGTGATAGATACGAAGCTAGCACTCACATGGTAGAAATTTTGATAGACCAATGGCCTGTACATAGCAGATTCCTTTTTTCAACAATACAAAAGATGAGTTATATACATGGGCTTCTCCAGATCGGATACAGAGATCCAATGGTTTCTATCTCTGGGAAGGCATGATGGACACACTCGGTATCAGCAGCTAAAACCAGGCCAGGGGCTGATTACTGAACCGATCATCAACTGCTCATATGTAAGTTCAGGTAAAGCTGAAGAAAATTAAAACAAGTCCAACAGAGTCGAAACATGACTTGGTGTCTATCCCACCCGAATTTTGAGAACAGAACTGACGATGTAAGATATGAAAATAATAATCTATAACTTATCAAGGGTTTGTGAGAGAGGGTGGGTGGGGGAAGAAATGGGGAGCTGATATCAGGGGCCCAAGTGGGAAGAGAATGCTTTGAAAACGATGATAGCGGCATATGTACAAATGTGCTTGACATACTGGATGAATGCATAGATTGTGATGAGATGTAAAAGCCCCCAATAAAAGGGAAAAAAAGAACAGAACTGAGGCACTGAACACTAGTGACAGTGATTTGTGGGAGGACAGTAAAACCACTGTTCATGAAGAAAGCAAAAAGTCATTTAAAAAACAGGAAAGAAAGAAAAGATCAAAGTGGATGTCAGAAGAAACTCTGAAACTTGCTCTTAATCCCAGAGCAGCTAAAGCCAATGGAAAAAAGGATGGAGTCAAAGAACTGAATAGAAATTTTCAAAGGGGAGCTTGAGAAGACAGAGTAAAATATGACAATAAAATGTGAAAAGATCTAGAATTAGACAACAAAAAAGGATATCTTAAACTAAAAGAAGTCAAGAAAAAATTTAGGCCTCAAGTTGCAATATTGAAAGTTTCTATGGGAAAGATGTTGATTCTATGGGCAAAATATTGAACAATGCAGGAAGCATTAAAGAAGAGAACGCACAGTCACTGTACCAAAAAACTGCTCAACATTCAGCCATTTCAGGAGGCAGCATATGAGCAAGAAGAATCAATGCTCCTTAAGGAAGACGTTCAAGCTGCACTAAAAGCATTAGTCAAATCAAGGCTCCAGGAATTGATGGGATACCAAGTGCAAGGTTGCCACAAGCTGATGAAGCACTGGAAGCCCTTACTCGTCTATGCCAGGAAATTTGGGAGACAGCTACTTGGACAACTGACTGGAAGAGAACCAAATGTGTTCCCATTCCAAGAAAGGTGACCCAATGCTCAAACTGCAAAACAATGTCATTGAGAGCACATACAAGGAAAATGTTGCTGAAAATCATCCATCAATGGTTGCAGCAGTACATTGCCAGAGCCACCAGGGATTCAGGCCAGATTCAGAAGAGGACGGGGAACAAGGAATATCATTGCTGATGACAGATGGATCTTGGCTCAAGCAGAGAATACCAGAAAGATGTTTGCTTGTGTTTTATTGACCATGCCAAAGCATTAGATGATGTGGACCATAATAAACCATGAGTGACTTTGAGAAGAATGGGAATTCCAGAACACTTCATTGTGCTCATGCAGAACTTGTACACGATTCAAGAGGCAGTTGTGTGAACAGAGCATGAGAATACTGCATGCTTTAAAAACATGTTTTAAAAACAGTGTGCGTCAGGGTTGTAAAAGCTCACCACACTTGTTCAATCTGTATGCTCAGCAAGTTATCAGAGAAGCCAGAGTACACGAAGACGAATGTAGGATCAGGATTGGGGAGGGCTTATTAACAACCTGCAGTAACGCAGATGACACAACCTTGCTTTCTGAAAGGGAGGAAGACTTGACGCACTTGTGGATCCAGATCAAGGACTGTAGCCTTCAGTATGGATTATGACTCAATGTAAAGAAGACCAGAATCCTCACAACTGGGCCAACATGATACACGGAGAAAAGGTTGAAGTTGCCAAGGGTTTTCTCTTGTTTGAATCCATAATCAATGCTCAAGAAACAGCAGACCACAGATGAAAAGGCGCATTGCATTCAGTAAGTCTGTTGCATTAGATCTCTTTAGTGCACTGAAAAGCAAGGATTACTTTGAGGACTAAGGTGTGCCCAACCCAAGCCATGGCATTTTCCACTGCCTCATAAGCATGTCAAAGTTGGACATCGAATAAGGATGACTGAGGAAGAATTGATGCGTTTGAACTGTGGTGCTGGAGATGAATACTGAAAGTACCATGGACTGCTAAAAGGAAAAACCCATCTGTCTTGGAAGAGGTGCGGCCAGAGTGCTCCTTCGAGGTAAAGATGGCAAGACCGTCACATACTTTGGACACATTATCAGGACAGACTAGTCCCTGGAAAAAGGACATCGTGCAAAGACATTCGACTATGGATTATAACCAACTATGGATAACGTTGAGAAGAATGCACATTCCAGAACACTTCACTGTGCCTCAAGTTCAAACAGAAAAAGCGACAAATGAGTGATTTATTCTTAATAAATCATTTTTATTGGGGGCTCTTATAACAATCCATACATCAATTGTATCAGGCACATTTGCACATAATGTTGCCATCATCGTTTTAAAAACATTTTCTTTCTACTTGAGCCCTTGGTATCAGCTCCTTTTATCCCTCCCTCCCCCTTCCGCCAATCCTCTTGACCCCTTGATAAATTATAAATTATTATTTTTATATCTTGCACCATTGATCATTGTGAATAGTTCCCCCTTTCTCTCCCCTCCCCCGGCATCCCCCTACCCTCATGGTATCGCTACTCCCATTATTGTTCTTGAGTATTGAGTGTTTTAAAATCAGGAGCGGTGTGTGTCAGGGCTGTATCCTTTCACTATACTTAATCTGTATATGGAGCAAATAATCGAGAAGCTAGGCTACATGAAATAGAACCTGGCATCTGGTTTTATGGAAGGCTTATTAACAATCTTCGAGATGCAGATGGCACAACTTTGCTTGCTAAAAGCAAGGACTTCAAGTAATTGCTGAAGAAAATGAGACTGTAGAGAGCAAATGTTTTGAGAATGATGAGGGCAATGAATGTACAAATGTGCCTTACACAATTGATGTATGTATGGATTGTGATAAGAGTTGTATGAGCCCCTAATAAAATGATTAAAAAAGAAAAGAAAATGAGACTGTAGCCTTCCGTATAGATTGTAACTATGTAAAGAAAATCTTCACAACTGGTCCAAGACATAGCATCAAGATGAACGAAGGAGAGGAGAGACTGAAGTTATCAAAAATGTTATCTTGCCTGGATTCACATTCAGTACTCATAGAAGCGCCAGTCAAGAAATCAAACAAGGTATTGCATTAAGCAAATTTGCTGCATAAGACCTCTTTTAAGTGTTCAGGAGCAAGGATGTAATTTTGAGGACTATGGTGTATCTGATACAAGTCATTGTATTTTCAATCACCTCATAAGCATGCATTGTGAAAGTTAGACAATGAATAAGGAAGATAGGAGAACCGATGCACTTGAATTATGGTGTGGGCAAAGAATACTGAAAGTATCATGGACTTCCAGAAGAACAAACATCTGTCTTAGAACAAGTAGAGCCAGAATGATCCTTAGAAGAAAGATGGCAGGACTTCTCCTCATATACTTTGGGCGTGTTATCAGGAGAGACCAGTTTCTGGAGAGGGCCATAAGGCTTGGTAATGTAGATGGGCCATGAAAATGAAGCAGTGTTACACTAGTGCAGTAATTGCCACATCGGACTCACACATGACAACAGTTGTGAGGATGGCATGTGATAGAGCAGTGTGACTTTGGATTTG